AACAGCTGGTGAAATTGAACCAGTAATCAAAAAACTCCCAGCACACAAAAACCCTTGACCAGATGGTTTCACAGACTTTTACAAAACATTTAAAGAACAGCTAACCCCTGTCCTCCACAGACTATTCCAAAAAATCCAAGAGGGAAGATTTTCAAACTCTTTTTTATGAGGCCAACATCATCATAATCCCAAAACCAGATAAAGACACAACAAGGAAAGAAAACTACAGGCCAATATCACTGATGAACATAGATGCTACAATCCTCAACAAAATACTGGCAAACCGCATCCAGCAGTACATTAAAAAGACCATCCACTATGATCAAGTGGTATTCATCTCAGGGATGCAAGGATGGTTCAATATTCACAAATCAATAAACACAATATATCACATAAACAGAAGGAAAGACCAAAATCACATGAGCGTATCCATAAATGCGGAAAAAGCATTTGACAAGTTACAGCATCCATTTTTGATAAAAATACTCAGCAAGGTGGAAATAAAGTGAGCATACCTCAACATAACAAAGGCCATATATGAAAAACCTACAGCCAATATCACACCCAATGGACAAAAACTAAAAGCTTTCCCACTAAGATTGAGAACAAGACAAGGTTGTCTGCTTTCACCACTTCTACTCAACATAGTATTTGGAAGACCTAGCCACAGTGATCAGACAATAAAAGAAATAAAAGGCATCAAATTTGGAAAGGAGAAAGTAAAACTGTCGTCGTTTGCAGATGACATGATAGGGCACATAGAAAACCTCACAGACTGCACCAAAAACCTACTCAACCTAATAAGTGAATTTGGCAAAACAGTGGGATACAGAGTCAATATTCAGAAATCGAAGGCATTTTTGTGTACCAAAAATGAAATATCAGAATCAGAAATCAGGAAAAAAATCCCATTTGCTCTTGCAACAAGAAATATAAAGTACCTAGGAATAAACTTAACCAAGGAGGTAAAAGACCTGTACGCAGAAAACTATACAATATTGAAGAAAGAAATTAAGGAACACACAAATAAATGGAAGCATATACCATGTTCATGGATTGGAAGAATTAACATTATCAGAATGCCCATACTACCCAAAGTGATTTATAGATTCAACACAATCTCTATTAAAATACCAATGATGTATTTCACAGACATAGAACAAACATTTCAAAAATTTAGACAGAACCATAAACAACCCTGAATAGCTGCAGCAACTTTAGGAAAGAAGAGCAAAGTAGGAGGGATCACAATACCTGAAATCAAAGTGTATTACAAGGCCACTGTCATCAAAACAGTCTGGTACTGGCATAAGAACAGACACACAGATCAATGGAACAGAATGGAGAGCCCAGAAATAAAATCATGTCTCTGTGGTCAATTACTGTTCAACAAAGGGGGCAGAAGCATAAAATGGATTAAAATAGCCTCTTCAACAAATGGTGTTGGGAGAGCTGGACAGCTACGTGCAAAAAATTGAAATTCGACCACCAACTTACATCATACACCAAAATAAACTCAAGATGGATAAAAGACTTAAATATAAATCTCAACACCATAAAAGTCCTAGAGGAGAACATAGGCAGGAAACTCAGATATTCCACACAGCAATATTTTCACTGGTATGTCCCCTAGAGCAAGGGACATAAAGGAAAGAATAAACAAATGGGACTTCATCAAGATAAGAAGCTTCTGCACAGCTAAAGAAAACATCAGCAAAATGAAAGGGGAACCAACCATATGGGAAAATACATTTGCCAATGATGCCTCAGACAAGGGTTTGATCTCCAAAATATATAAAGAATTCACAGGAAAATATTCCAGGAAGAGAAACAATGCAATTAAAAAATGAGCAAAGGACCTCAAGAGATACTTGTCCAAGGAGGACATAGACAGGTCCTAGAGACATATGAAGGGATGCTCAGCATCACTAGCCATCAGAGAAATACAAATTAGAACCACGATGAGATAGCACTTCACACCGGTCAGAATGGCCATCATAAACAAGTCAACAAACAACAAGTGCTTGCGACGTTGTGGAGAAAAGGGAACCCTAGTACACTGTTGTTGGGAATGGAAACTGGTGCAGCCACTGTGGAACAGTATGGAATTTCCTCAAAAAGCTAAAAAATGGAACTGCCTTTTGATCCAGCAATTCCACTGCTAAAAATTGAACTGTCTTTTGACCTATCAATTCTGCTGCTGGGATTATACCCTAAGAATCCCAAAACACCAATTCAAAAGAACCTATGCACCCCAATGTTCATAGCACCACAATTTACAATAGCCAAGTACTGGAATCAACCTACGTGCCCATCAATAAATGAGTTGATCAAAAAACTAAGGTACATTTACACAATGGAATACTACACAGCAGAAAGAAAGAGCTAGTACCATTCATGACAGCATGGATGGAACTGGAGAGCATTATGCTAAGTGATATAAGCCAGGGGGCAAAAGACAAATACCACGTGAGCTCACCTATAAGTGGAACCTAACCAAGAAAACAAGCAAGAAAAATATAACCAGCAACATTGAAAGAAAAAACCAAATGACAGTATGAGAGGGAAGGAGGGAGGCGGGTAACGGGTAAAGAAGGGGAAGGGTCAAATCAAGGAACCTGTATAAAGGACCCATGGACAAAGCCAAAGTGGGGAAAGATTGAGGGTGGGTGGGGCAGGGGAAAGTAGTGATGGGTAAATGGAGATAAATGTATTTGAACAATAAAGTAAATAAATAAAATTTTATAAATAAATAAATGAAAACTAAAGACCAAAATAATGCTCAATGCTGATGAGGATGCAGTGAAACAAATGGGCATACTCATACAAAGTTGATGAGGAATATATATTACAATTAAGCAATATTTACCAAGAACTTTGTAAATGTTCACATTTGTTGACTCAAATGTGTCAACAATTCTACTTCTAGGAATCTATTCTAAGGAAGTAGGGATGTGAATAAAGCTCTATGCATAAAAATGTTCACTGTAATATCACATATAATAGGGGAAACTAGAAACCAAATGGCCAACATTATAATAATTAAATGATTCATCTATATGGTAAAATATTATTTACTAAAAATTGTTAAGACAGAAAGGATATGGCATATTAAGTAAAAAAACAATATATAATTATGTAAACGATATCTCTACTATGTAAAAAATGCATGATGAAAGACTGGAAGAAAGCATAAAAATTTTCACAGTGGTTCCCTCAAGTTAGTGTGCTAGATGGCTTTAATAGGAAAAGGGGACATACTTGCAGGTCCCCTCCTAGGTGTGGTCTGGAGTCGGTAACTGTTATTGGATCAAGCATTATTATATTTACTCTAAAAAAGGAACTACTGTTTGTCTTTACCTATTTCATCTTTCCCTTAGTTGACCCCATTTAAATTAAGATTTTGCAAATCTTGTCGGACTTGGTCTTCTAGCTTATCCTAGGGCCTCAAAGGTCCATGGCTACTGAAGTTGGGGAAAGGGTGTCCTGCCTTAATAGCTAAAATTTATTGAGTATCTGAAATACCATTCTAAGTGTTTTGCATCTATTATTTTATTTAATAGCCTCATAACTCAACAAGTAAGGAAACTAAAGCTAGAGAGGTTAAACAACTTGCCCAAGGTCACACAGCTAAGAAGCAAGGCTTCAGAACCTGCCCTCTAACCTAGTATTTCTATTACTGCCAGTTATAGGGTGAATTTATTTTCTTTCTTATGCTTTTCTAGACTTCCCTCTAACACTCAATAAATATTATTAAAAAGAAGGGTGTGCATCAACAGATGAATGGATAAAGAAGATGTGGTATATATACACTGGAATATTATTCAGCCATGAGAAAGAAGGAAACCCTGCTATTTGCAAACAATGTGGATGGACCTTGAGGGCATTATGCTAAGTGATATAACTCAGACAGAGAAAGACAAATACTGTATGATCTCATTTATGTGTGGAGTCTAAAAAACAAACAAAATCCCAACCAAACTCATAGAAAAAAGGATCAGGTTTGACATTATCAGAGGTAATGGTAGATAAGGGAAAGGGACTTGGATAAAAGTGGTCAAAGGCACAAACTTTCAGTTATAAGTAAGTACTAGAGACATGATATAGTTAACACTGCTGTACGATAGATAGGAAAGTTAAGGAAGTAAATCCTAAGAGTTATCACCACAAGGGAAAAATACAGGGGCTGGCAAAAGTAGGCTTACAGTTGTGAGTATGCAAAACAGTTTATTCTTGTACTGTTATTTATTAATTATATTATTTTCTATACGAACAACTGTAAACCTTTTGTTCACCCTTGTTTCTATGAGATGACAGGTGTTAACTAAACTTATTGTGGTAAATCATTGCATGATATATGTATCATTATGTTGTACAACCTAAACTTATACAGTGTTCTATGTCAATTTTGTCTCAGTAAAACTGGAAAAAAGAGGGAAGGATGGACATTTACTCAGAGACAAAAAGGGGACACCAGGATAAGTCTCTGAAGTGTATCTTGAAGAATCAGAAACTTTACCGTGGTTTATGGGCCACAACTTATTTATCTTGCATAATATCCATCTTTTCTGTCCATTCTCACCCATCAGTATGGGAGCAGTGTTACAGGCACCTCTTGATTTTATAATAGACATACTATTTGGCTAAAGTAAATCAAACATTTACCTGTAGAACTTATTTTTCTCCCCAGCCCCAGAAAAAAAAAAAAGACCCGAAGTAAAGCTATGAGCTCATAAAATAATTTAAATGAGGATGGATTGAACCACCTTGAGTTCTTTTTTTATAAATTTTTTAAAATTTTATTTATTTATTTTTAGAGAGAGGGGAAGGGAGGGAGAAAGAGAGGGAGAGAAACATCAATGTGTGGTTGCCTCTAGCATGCCCCCTACTGAGGACCTGGCCCACAACCCAAGCATGCACCCTGACTGGGAATCGATCCAGCGACCCTCTGGTTCACAGGCTGGCACTCAATCCACTGAGCCACACCAGCCAGGACTCACCTTGAGTTCTTGAAGTTGATCTGGTTCATAAAGCTGGGCAGATACTGCCTGTGCAAGGAAGGTGTCTAGCTCATGGCGATGCAGGATTCGACCACCAGGCCATTGAATCATGTACCTAGAAAATAAAAGCATCATTGTTAAGTTATAAAAGCTCATTTAAGCTAAGACACTACCCTGGGCCAGATCCTAGGCTAGGTTTTGGTGATTCCAATGAAACAAAGTAAAAGAATCTCTGCCTTTGGTTATTTGCAGTCTGGGTAGTAGTGGAGACAGGCACGTACACCAACAATGACAGGACAGTGTGTTAAGTACTAAGAAGAATGGACAGGGTGCTATTAGAGCACAGAAGAAGGCTACCAGTGGAAGAGTAAGGAAGGGCATCCTGGGGAAAAAAAAAAGTCAGCAGGAGCTGAGTTTTAAACGGCATGTAGAAATTAGTGAGGTAAAAGGCTCGGGAAAGAATGTTCTAAGGTGAAGAAACAGTATGAGTGAAGGCACGAAATTATAGAGTTCAATATGATATAGCAGGTTGAATAATGCTGGATCTAAAAGCAGGTCTGCAGTTACAGGAAACAAGATTTGAAAGTAGAATCAATCATGAAGTCTTGAAAACAATAAGAAAGAATTTGGACCTTCATTCTGAAAATATAGGAAGATCCTAAAGGACTGGCAGTGGGAGAGTGATATTGACTGGTTTGATACTGACTGGCTCAGAAAGTAAAAGACAAGAGGTATGGATACCAGCTGAGAGACTGCAGCAATCTGTAGCCAAAGAGGCCTAAACAAAGGTACTGGCTGATGGGATGGAGAGGGCCAGGGGACAAACCCATAGAATTTGGTCATGGATTCTATGGGAAGGGGTAAAGAAAAGGGAAAGAGTCTAAGATTCCAAGAATTCTTTCTTGGGCAAATGGTGAGATGATGGAGTCATTCTCCAAGATAGGAAATCCCCCAATTAAATAAGTACATGTTGATGAGTATTTGAATTGAATTTCATGAATTGAATATGCTTTACTATTCTAGGCACTGAGAATGCAGAAAAAGGAAGAGAAAGACAGCTGAAAAATACGAGTATATCACTACAAGGTCTACTCCTTAGTTCCCTGAAGGCCCCACAAGGAGATACTCATAATTATTGGAACTTCAAAAACTTGGCATTTAAAGCACCAGCTGGTCCCTTCTGAGTGGCACATAAGATGGGTTCCTGGGGACACTGGCCAGTTACTACTACCAGAAGGCAGCGTGGTGCCCTGGAAAGAGCCTAGGCTCTGTAGCCAGACAGCCTGACTTCAAATCTTTAACCTACTGTTGTTCACCTGGAATGATCACAACAGAGCAGGCAACCCCACTGCCATTATTCTTTTTACAAGTCCAAACATCTAGGAAGGTTCCACAATTGCAGGACATGCCAACAAGCCCTGCTGCTTCTTTGGGAACTAAATTCTACATGACTGGGCTTTCCAGCAGGAATCTTCCTGTGCCACACAAACCTCCCTTTGCCCACAATTATTTTCTTTCCTGTCTGCACATTATCCACTTGAAAAATATAAATATATAATATATAATGATAAATATATAAAGCAGACATAAAATAATAACTATATGTTATATATAAATATATATAATATATAAAAAAGATTTTATTTATTAAGAGGGGAAGGGAGGAAGAAAGAAAGGGAGAGAAACAATGGTGTGTGAGATATGTCGATTGCTTGCCTCTCGCACACCCCCAACTAGGAACCTGGCTTACAACCCAGGCATGTGCCCTGACCAGGAATTGAACTTGTGACCTTTTGGTTCACAGGCCGGCACTCAATCCACTAAAGCCTACCAGCCAGGGCTATTTTATATTTTTTGATGCTATGTTATGAAGTGCATAATTCATAGCTTATAACTTCTATCAATATAAAATATTCTCTTTTGTTCTCCTTAATGCTTTTTTTGCCTTACTGAGGACTATATTATCTATTAATATTGTTTCTTTCTTTTGAATTGTAGTTCCTTGATTTACCTTTGCCCATTCTTTTTTTAATTTTGCCATCTTATTCTGTTGGCAAAATGTGAACCAAAAATAGGAGAAAATGAACAGAAATTCAATTATATTATGAGACTTTAGTATACTACTATCAAGCTATGACATGTAAAGTATCCCTACAATATAGGTAAAGTCACAGAAGATTTCAAAACTACAAGTAAGGTTCAAATGTTTGATTTTGTACAAAGAAAACACATTCTTTTCAAGTGCCCACATGAGTTCCCAGGAGTTCTAGGACCCTGTTGGTTTGCCCTTGTCTACTGTCTTATTTATTATTTTGATTTATTATGAACTATCTAGCTTATCACATAGCATAGAGAGTATCGGGAAATATTTATTGGGGGAATGACTGAATGCATCGATCAGGTCACGCCACAACCCTCCCCTTAAAACTCAACAAAAATCCTACAAAGCAGAATTGTAGCAGTCATAACCTGGCCACTATGAAAGAAAACTCACCTAAAGGAGCTCCAAAGTAGTCAAGTGTGGGAGACAGGCAGGGATGTGATTTTATAAGCTAAACAGATTGTTCTGGGCGCTCTGAGGAGACAGTGACTAAATTTACATGGGAGAATCAAAAAGACATCACAGAGAAGGGGACATTTCTATTCCTAGGGATTTGAGGTGTTTGTTTGGTTTGGTTTATGTTTTAATATTAATTTGCAGTTTTTGATGTCTCTCTAACCTTAGTATGGTGCATGACAGAATGGGTGCTCAATAAATGTTTGCTGAACAAATGAGTTAATGTCATGATATTCAAAAGGAAATGCTAGCTGTATCGTTTGTCCAACACTGCTCTTTAACCAGCCTGGAATGAATTATGAGACAGAGTGTGAAGGGTCCAAGGAGTCAGAAGAGTGAGAGGTTCACAAATGAGCAGCAGAAAATAATGATTATTAAGTCAACCAACATGTAGTGACGTATATCATGTGCTATTTTTTGAATTAAATGATTCTACTGGGGATTTTCTCTGGAAAAACTACAGCACTGCTAATTTCCTGAGGAAGTTCCCCAACCTCAATGACAAGATGGCATCTATATTATTACTATTAATAGTATTTACATTAGTATATATTCATATATTAAATTATAATATATACAGCAAACTATAAGTTACTCAGGAATAACGTTTACTAAATGCACTTTGCATTCAAGACACTTTGGCAGGTCCCAAACCCACAGTGTGGCGTTTTTAAACAGGAGGGATACTTTGGTTGTGGTGGTCCCCACTGAGGAGCCTAGCCTAGGGTCGCAGACCCACACTGGGCTGCCCAGCCTGGAGCACCAGTGCCAGGGAGAGGAGTACCCACAATAGCTGGCTTTGAAAATCAGCAGAAACTCAGTCCGGGTGAGAGGAAGGGCTGCTAGAGACCCAGCTGTCCTCTTTAAGGGCTGGAGAACAGACTCACTGGCTCAGAAACACTAGCCCTAAGCTCCAGAGAAGGCACAGCAGTTCAAAAAGCACCAAAGACATACTGGGAAGAACTGAATGACCAGGCTTCAGGGCGAAGGCAGGAGGGGCAGTCTCTCCATAACTAAAGTGCCAGAGGGCTCCAGTCTTCCTTTGTTGAGCCACCGGCTACCCCCTCAACCTGCAGACGCAGGTGGACACTAAACATGGGTAGGTCTCCATCAACCTGGCTTAACACAGCTCTTGCCCTACCCTGGTGATTCCCTGAGACTCTGCTCCCCGCTGAAAACATGTGACCAGCATAAACCACTTTTAGAGGCTAATCCACATAAGCAGTGGGCCTGAGCCCATGCTATAGACTGTCTTAAAATCCCTCAAGCAGAGTTTGGCCTTGGCGTGGTCTGTACTACTTGTTAAGCGGCCCCAAGCCTGGCACTAGTGGCAACTGGCCTTAGTTAAAAGCATAACCACTCCTAGGCATCTCCAAGCCCAGCAAAGAGGCCACCAACTTGTAGCTCCTGCCAGGTAGCCCCGGGCCAGACATGGGCAGCAGCTGACCTTGGACTGCACTGTAGGCTCTCCCAAGAAGCCCCAGGGCACCCAGTGGCTGGCTTTGGACCACCACCCAACTAGTACCACAAACAACACACCCAAAGGGTGGACTCGGCAGGCACCAGATCCCTACTAAAGCAAATTCTTCTCTGTGGGGCTAGCCCCTGAACAACAGCTTGTCTGCTGTAGTCACAACCAGTCCTCACAGTAAGTCACTCTGAGGGTCAATCCCACCCACTGACGTGCCAGCAGCAATCACGTCTCAACCACAGGAGGAATGCACACACAATCCACTGGCTCAGGTAAACAGGGAAACCATGTCACTGGGCCTCACAGGACACCTGCTACGTAAGACTACGCTGCCAAGATTGGAAGAAGTAGCAGATCTACCTGATAAGATAGAAACAAACACAGGGAAGCAGCCAAAATGAGGAGACAAAGAAAACTGTCCCAAATGAAAGAACAGAACACTGCTAACCAAAATTCCAGAAACACTGATAACCAAAATGGACGGAAGCAATCTACCAGATGCAGAGTTCAAAACACTGGTACAAGTTGGCAGTTACAAAATAGTTATGGAGATGTAAAGTACAGCTTAGGGAGTACAATCAATAGTATTGTAATAACTGCCCTGGCTGGTGTGGCTCAGTGGATTAAGCACTAGCCTGCGAACCAAAGGGTCGCCGGTTTGGTTCCCAGTCAGGGCACATGCCTGGGTTGCACGCCAGGTTCGCAGTTGGGGGTGTGTGTCAGGCAGCCACACATTGATGGTTCTCTCCCTCTCTCCCTCCTTTCCCCTCTCTCTAGAATAAAATCTTTAAAAAAGTAATAATATTGTAATAACTATATCTGGTGTCAGGTGGGTATAAGATATAATGGGGGGATCACTTCTTAAGTTATATAAGTGTCTAACCACTATGCTGTACACCTGAAATTAATAATGTTGAATGTCAACTGCAATTGTTAAATAAAATAAAATAAAAATATTAAAAATACCCCTGGCTGGTGTGGCTTAGTGGATTGGGTGCCGGCCTGCAAGCCAGGGGGTCACTAGTTGGATTCCGGGTCAGGGCGCATGCCTGGGTTATGGGGCAGGTTCCTGGTGGGGGGGGGGCAC